GGACCTGGGCTAGGACTCTGCAGATGTTATTAATTCAGGGATTTCTTTTTTTATTTCCAATCTGAGTTCCTCTATACCTTTCTGCAGCTGTTTTTTTTTATTTCAGAAGCCGTTGATTCATTGCTTTCAGTTGTTTGATTATCAATTTTTTCTGTGTTAGTGTCCTCTGCACTTGTTATGGGTGGGGTTGGGTTCTGAGGTTGCATTTTGTTCCTTCTTGTCATTTTTCATAGCACTGTCTTCTAAACTTTGTTGTAGATCTTTGTTGTAATAATAACCTTAGCACGTACTGAAGTTCAGGAGCAGATCTACAAAGTTTGGATTTATCCAGCTGTGCCTGGTTGGGTCTGTGTTCACCTCCTTCCTGCTGCTGCCCTTGGGGGTGAGCTTGTTGTGCCCCTCTGGCAAGATTTTCTGCTCTTAGACTAGCTGGGTGGTTCTATCCTCTGCACTGTCTGCAGGATTGCAGCTGCTGGGTTTCACCCCAGACCTGTATGCCAGGCCTGAGCTGAGTCTGTAGGGGACAAGTTGGAGTAGTGGGGAGAGGCAGCTCTCCCACACACACTGGGCCTGGGTAGGACTGGGTCTGGGGTTCCCGGAATGCTGCAGAATTTCCTACTCGGAGAGTGGGCTGGGGGAGGTGCTGCAGAGTGTTGGAGGCCATCCCAAGGTGGTGGAAGAGGGTCTCACCCACACTGTACCTGGGCTGGGACCAGTAGTAGGTCCTGCCAACACAGCGTAGCAGGAAGCTCTCCCACACACTCACCGGGCCTGGGCCAGGACTGTGTTTGGGGTTCCCACTTAAGCATATATTTTTAAGGAGAAGAAATAAAATATCATTAGTTATGAAGGCTTTTTTCTAATGTAAAAGAAAAGAAAATTAGCAAGAGTGTTACCTTTGGTCTGTTCTTTTTTAAAGCTTTCTTTTTCATGTTTTATAAGAAATAAACATTTTTGCATGAAAGTCTCCTGTCTCTTGCTGTTTGTATAAGTAGGATGTACTTCATGATCAACCAGATTATTAAAAGCATTAAAAAGACATAGTGTTGACAAAAATCATCCAGATATTGATATCTACAAGTGGAATGCTGCCGTAATAAAATATGAATTATGATTAACTCAAAAAGACACAGTGGACTTAGAAGAAAATACATGTTGAAGGATTTCCAATAGAGTGAGGACTTGTAAGAAGCTGAGCAGAGTCT